GCACTCCATTTGAATTTCAGTCTTCTACTATGCCTCCACCATCTCCTTCTATTGTGCCTCCTCCTTCATCTGATTATCCTGTAATAGATGATGATCCAACTGATGATGAAGTGGAAGATGAATCAGGATCTGAAGGGGATACTAGTGAAGATACTGAGGTTGACAGTGATGTTCATCAAGAGTATGTAGATATAAGGGCAACCAAGAGGCATTTCAAAAGGTCACAAAGGAGAAGTAGGGGAACTACTTCAGATCAGATTAATGTTAATGAGAAAGGTCCAGATATAGGGTATGATGAGACAAATAATGGTATTAGGGAAAGCTTAGTTGGTAAGCTAGGAGGTGATGAACCTTATTATCTAAGTGATGTAGTTCCTAGCTTTGAAATAGATGGTGAAGAGGTAGATCAAGTAGTGCATAAACCTGTTAGGAGGAAGAAAACCACAAATAGAGTTGTGTTTGATACAACTGCTGAAAAGATTGTTTGGGAATTAGGACTGGTTTTTGGAACTGTTGAAGAATTTAGAGTGGCAGTGACAAGATATGCAATCCAAGAACATATTCAAATTGAAAAATATGTAAATGAGCCTGACAGAGTTAGAGTGAGATGTTGTAAAGAGAGTTGTCCTTGGTTGTTGTGTGCAAGTAAGAATAAAACTAGTGGAGATTTCATTGTTAAAACATACAACCCTATCCATAAATGTTTGACATCAACTCATAACTACCTGTGCAACTCAAAGTTTTTGGCCACCAAATACAAAGAAAGAATAACTCAACAGCCAAACATCAGCATTGTCTTGTTGCAGGACATTATTAGAAAGGAGTTGGATATTAATGTTGGTAGGACAACAGTGAGAAGAGCTAGGACTAGAGTGTTACAAGAGATCATGGGTAATCACATTATGGAGTATGGTAGGATTTTTTATTATAGAGATGAAATATTAAATAGTAATCCAGGTAGTACTTGTGTAGTGAAGGTTGGAGAAGATTCTGAAACTGGGCAGAAAATTTTTGAAGGATTTTATGTTTGCTTCAATGCTTTAAAGAAAGCATTTTTTGGAGGTGCTAGAAGGTTGATTGGTTTTGATGGGTGTTTTCTCAAAGGTGTGTGTAAAGGCCAGTTGTTAGTGGCAGTTTGTAGAGATGGAAACAACCAAATGCTCCCTATTGCTTGGGCAGTTGTTGAGGTTGAGAATCAGTATACTTGGACATGGTTTCTTGAACTAGTGAAGAATGATCTTGAACTTGGAGAAGGGCATCAACTATCCATCATTAGTGATATGCAAAAGGTAATTACTGATATCCATCTTACTATTTTATTGTTGTTGAGTTTTTCACTTAAATTGATTCTTTTTCTGTTATGTTGGTTTGTTAGGGACTAGAAATTGTTGTAGATACTTTATTGCCACTTGTTGAACATAGAAAATGTGCAAGACATGTTCTTGCACATTGGTCAAAAAATTGGAAAGGAGTTGAAAGAAGAAGAGTGTTTTGGAGGATTGCTAAATCCACATTTGAAGCTGAGCTGAAGGACAATATAGAGATAATGAGGAAATTAGGACAAGAAGGTTTAGATAATCTTTTATGGTACAATTTGAATACATGGTGCAAGAAGTATTTTGAAGAATATAGCAAATGTGATGTTGTGGACAACAATATGACAGAAAGCTTTAATGCTTGGATAGTGTCTGCAAGGTATAAAACCATCATTATAATGCTTGAGGAGATAAGGGTGAAGATGATGAAAAGAATTGGTGATTTGAGAGAGTTCTCAAACACTTGGATCACTGATAAAGATTTTGCAAGAAAACATTCAAAAGTCTATGCAATGTAACTTGACTTGGAATGGAGAAAGAGGTTTTGAGATTAAACACCATGGATTTACACACACTGTGGACATTGTTAATAGGAGGTGTAGTTGCAGATCCTGGCAGCTTAGGGGAATTCCTTGTCCTCATGGTGTTGCTGCCCTTCATTACAAAAACTTGGAACCAATCCATTATGTGGCTAGCTGTTATAGCAAGGAAACCTACCTCAGCACATATGCCCATTTTATTCAGCCAATGAATAACATGAAAATGTGGTCAACATCAAATAATCCAATTGTAAAGCCACCAAAGATCAGAAAGTTGCCTGGAAGACCAGTTAAGGTTAGAAGAAAGGAAGCAGATGAAAGCAGAAAAACTGAAAAGTTGAGCAAAAGAGGTGCTGTAATGACTTGTAGCAAATGTGGCACACAAGGACACAATAAAAGAGGATGTCCTACAAGAAACCAAGCTGATCCAAGTCAATCAACTGAACCAGTTTCTCAAGCAAGAAGTACTGGTCCAAGTAAGTCATCTGAACCATCTTCTCATACACAGGTACTTTTATTTGTTACTCTCAAATGTATGTTATATGTGGATGTATATATATTGATATATTAATATACAGGCTACTGAAAGTGGTAGAGGAAAAGGCACAGGAAGAGCAAGTGGCAGAGGTGTTCCAGCTCAATCACATGAAAATGTTACAAACACAGAGGTAATATATCTAATTATTATATCATTGTTAGATAATATAGATATGCTTTAATATTTGATTTCAAAGTACAGACTGTAAATGGTGGAGGTACAGGTAGAGGAGCAGGATCAGGAAGAGAAATGGCTCAAGAAAGAAATGTGAATGAAGGACTAAGTAGAGGAAGAGGAATGACTCAACATAGTCAAACTAGTTCAGAAGCAAACTACAGTAGAGGAGGCCTAGGAAGAGCGAAGAGACCAGTAGAACATGAAGACACTAGTGGAGGACAAACAAGACCTTTTAAAAGGCCAAGAATGGTAGGTGTTGGCATATACCAAGCTAAAGATGGATTTACAACTCTCAATGTAAGTTTACAACTATCAATGCAAGTTTACAATTGTGATTGCAAACCTCAATGTAATTGTCTAATATTTGACTGTGTATTTATTTGACTAAGCAGCCTGGATTGACAAGTAGAAGAGTCATCAATACTGGTACAAAAGTTACAAAGAGGGCTGATGTTGTCACTGGTGATATTGGCTACACACCAGTACGTGGATTCAAATGGAAGGGGAAGACAACTATTACAAGTAGCAATCTGGAAAGAATGAGGGCTGAAAAGGTTATCCAAACTAGGTCTGTAGCTGCTGCTAATGCTGCTAATAGCCAAGGCCAAACAACTTCAAGTAGAAAAACTTTTGTGCCATGGAAGTAGGGCATTTTGATGTTGTCTTGTTTATTTTGACAAACAAAATTTAACTAAGCATATATTTGTGTTGTTTTTTATTGGAAACAAACTCAATTTTGGGTGTAACCAAACAAACTTGAATGGTTGGAATCAAACTCGATTATGAAGTCTTCTTTTTTGTCAGTTTTGTTATTGCCTTTTTAATTGTAATTGACATATTTGTGAAGCTTCTCAAATGGTTGCCATGATAATATAGATTAGAGAACCAAATACATTAACTAATTGTTCAAATCATAACAATTTCGACAACAAAGAACAACAATAACTTGAACATTCAACAATCTTTCAAGTTACACACACCTACAACTAGCAAGATCAAGACAATTAGCTTCTAGGTACACACGCCTACAATTTCAAAAATTTGAAAGTAACTAAACATGTCTATGGCAATTTTGGTTGTACACACCTACAACTTACATCCTTCACATTCTTGGTTAGACTTAAACATAGAAAACACACAATAATGATCAAGACGATTAGCTTCAAGCTACAACATTTGCCCTTCTTTTTCTCCTTCATCATGACTTGGTTACTTTCAACACGACTTTCATAAGATGTCAATATTTCTTCCAACTCCTTAATTCTCTTTGCTAATCTCGGAATAACATACTTGGATCTTATATCAACTTCTTCTTGATCCCTCCATCTAAAGAAGTTGCACGCATCCTCCTAAAATATGCAAAACACAAATTAAAGAAAAATACATAAACAAAAGATCTCCATAAAAAAATTAGTAAACATACACGATAGCGTGGACAAAACCAAAATCTTCGAGCTGGGTTATGCTCCGACCATGAAGTTTGCATTGATAGTAAGTCACCATGTTTGCATCGCAGTTTCACTCGCAAAATCGGATCATTCTCATCATTACAAATACGATTCAACATTGCATTTGACATTTTCAATCAAAAACTAACCACAAAATTGAGAAGAAATTCAACCATAAAAAAACTTTAAATTAACGTTTATACTGGAAATTAAAAGAGAAAAGACGAATTCCTACCTTATTTTCTTGAGGAAGATGAAGAAGTCGTCAAAAAGAGAACACCAATATTGTTCTTGCCATGGAAATCAAAATTTTATGGCTACCAACGGCTATTTTTGAGTTTAAATTGGGGAAGATACAAAAATTGATTAAATAATTAATATTAAAGAAAGAAAATGACATGTGGCTGTTTTAAAGTGGTAAATAAAAAGGAAAAATGGCCCATCACGCGCCTAACGTGCGTGTAAACAACCCAGATGAGTTAATGGGTAAAAATGGCCAATTTACAACAATATATAGTTGTTTAGTGGTGTGATAGGACACTTCAAAAGTTTAGGTGTCTTTATGCAAATATGGGACAACTTCGATGGTCTCTTTGTGTCTTTTCTCTTAATTTTATTATTATTAAAGTTCAGCTAATATCAACATCAAGAGGTCAGTATATTATATTTTATCTAATTATTTTTAATAAAATCGACCCCTAAAGCCTTTTTTAAAAAAAAAGTGAAAAGAATAAGTATATCTTCGAACTATCGTAATGATATGCAGATATCCTTCGTCATATTTTTGGAAAATTGATGCCTCTGTCCTCAAAAAACTAGAGCATATATGCCCTTTTGTTCTAACGGGAGACCAAATATGGACACGTGACGCAGTCTTATCCATCCATCCGATGTTTGGTCGGTGGATAAAATTATGACACGTGTATTTTCATTAGTATCAATGTTCATAAAATAAGACGAAAATATCTGCATAACATTTACGATAGGTCGAAATATATTTATCCACTTTCTCTTAAAAATATACCTATTAATCATTAATTTTCTACAACACTAAACCTTCGCAACACCACATCGAGCAACACCGGAAGTTGCAGCGGCACCGCTCGTCGGAGGTAGGGTTTTTTAATTTTCGAAAATTCTGAGACCATTCTCCGATGATATCAGCACAGTGAACACTTATTTTTGTAGGATTAAATCTAGAGTTGAACAATAATTCCATTGAAATCGATTAACGTTTGCTGATTGAACGTTGTAAACTTGTTGTTACTTTGAAATCTCAGTGAGATGTCGTCAATAATACTACTTATTTGCTGATTAATGTGAAGTTTTTGCTTGATTCCCCATTATGCAGTCTCAAATGTAAGGAATGTTTTCTCATTTCTAATATTAATACACTTTTATTGCATCTGATTAGGAGTAAGACACACAGATTAGTAATTAATTTACAATTTTCTCTAATCGTCTGCTTTAATGTTACTGGGATCTATTATAAAGTTGGGAAAAAGGCTAAATGTACCCGAACTATCATAAACGATACGCAGATATCCTACCGTCCAGAAACTAGAGTATATATGTCCGTCACTCTAACGGAAAACTAAATACGAACACGTGGCGCAATCTTATCCGTCGATAAGTGTCGGATCGGTGGATAAGATTATGACACGTGTACTCTGATAGTATAAAGGGCATATATGCTCTAGTTTTTGGACGGCAGGGACATCAATGTCCTAAAAGTATGACGGAGGGTATTTGCATACCATTTATGATAGTTCGGGGTATACTTGTCCTTAAGGATTTATTAGGCATTCGATTGACATTTTAGCGTTAGATTAGAAGCAAGTTTTTGATTTAAATATGAGGTTGTTGATCATGACTTGAAAAGAATTTTTATAACTGAATTTGCTTGCTGATATATTCAGCTAATGGGATTTGGATTTGTGATTATCATCTATACCTATAGTTTACTGTGTTTAATTGATTGCAATTTGTTGTTAATGTTACGATTTCTTGCGTATATGCCTTACACTACTTTGCTATTAGTTCTTTTAAATACGTTGCTATTAGTTCTTATACTACTCTTTCGGAAACAAGTGATAATGGTATTTGCTTACACTCGACCCTCCTCAAATCCCACTTTGTGGGATTTCACTGGTTTTATTGTTGCTATTGTTGTTGTTGTTGGTCAAATGTGTATCAACTCGAAAGATTTTAAAATTTTGAGTTAGCTTACGTTGTTCATGTTTTTCTGTGTAAACCTTTCGTTCAGGAGCTGTTTTGTCTGCCATTTTCAAGTGCTCTTATTGATTATATTCTATCATTATGGATGCTCTGAATGAACTGAGCTACAAACCACCCCCGGAATTTGAGGAGGTCAAAAAGGATTCACTTGTCAATCTTAACATTGCAGTCTCAACTGAGCTCTGGCTTATACAGTGGCCCTTTAATCAAGTAAGATTCATGAGAATTTATTGTTCTTCTAATTTTAGGATGCAATAAGGTGCATTCTTTTTTCCCCAATCATTCAAGTGACTATTGAAAATAATATCGGAACAAGTTCATTTCAACATCTATGTGTGTTAGTGCACAAAAGATGATATTCTTTTCTTACATGTTCATAGTCTCTAAGGACCATTCTCACATTACCATAGTTTGATGTACATTATTGTCTCTCTTTTTCTTTATCTATGAGACCTTATTTATGTATTCAAAGAAAATATGAATTTCGTCATCATACAACAATGAGAAGAGAACGGTAGATGAAAATGAAACAAGTATGTAAAGCAAATAGATTCTTGATTCAAGTAAAGCGTATAAAAAACAAGTATGTAAAGAAAATACAATCGCAAAGAAGTCATGCGGAAAACAATGAGAAGAGAACGGTAGATGAAAATGAAACAACGGGTAATGCTAAATCGAAGAATAATAACAATACTAGAAATGTAACTAGACAAGGCTCGACTTATTAACCTTTTACTCTTCCTCCATATCTTCCTATATCTTCCTAGCTAGGGTCATGTCATTTATAAGTTATAGCTGGTCCATGTCTTGTCTAACTATCGTTTTCCATAACTTCTTCAGTCTACCTCTCCTAACATCCACTATAGTCAACCTCTCACTTCTCATTGGGGCATATGTGCATCTTCTTTGCCTCTACCACTCCTTACATCCACTATAGCCAACCTCTCGCTCTCCACTAGGGCATTTGTGCATCTTCTCTTCTAGAAGATAATTTTATAATCCTTGAAGTTTTGTTTGGAAAGTGAGAAAGGAAAGGAATACAAAATGACGGCAAATGTGAGACAAAGTTTTTCTGTTCCTTCATAAATACAGGGAGCAAATAAGAGATTTCAGGGAAGAAACTCAGATGCCATGGTCTCTAAGTGAAGAGATTTTCTGTCTCTCTCTGTTTCCTTTTCTGGGACAAACCATGTAAAAATTAACCATCCTTCCCTAGTCTCTAAAAAAAAGAGAGAGTTTACTTATGAGATTTACTATGATTTTGGACAGAATGAGAATAATTGTGCACTTGAGGATGTAAATATATATTTCAGTCCTTGTCACTTACGGTTCTGAGTTATGACATTTCCAATTGGCTACTCCAGCATCCAGGTCTTGATGGGCAAGAAGTTTCGTTGAAGCTCCATCATGATGGGCATATGGGCAGCTTTGAGGATTCATCTGGCAAGTATAGTCTGAAGAATAACATTTACGTATAATTGAGTTTTTGTCTCCCCACCTCAACCAATCTAGTAGTCGTATCAGCCTTTTTAAAATATAACGAAAGATGCTTTTAATTTCTTAACATCTTGCTCAATGTTGTTTTTATAACAGGTAAATCATATGAAGTGGTCAGTTGTAGAGCACAAGACCCAGATGCGGTAGTCTTTCTATCTTCCCAGTCTGAGCCAAAAATCGGTAACTCTTAGTTCCTTTGCATTTTGCTGTCTATTTGTCTGCTTATTCACTCATGATCTTGCAATACTCAAAACATGCAATTTTGCATGGTACAAACCATTATGATTGTACGATGCGTTGTTGTCATGTGAATACTAAAGCTAATGTGACTCAACATCTTTGATGATTTCAATATATGACATGCTCGTTTTGTTTGCATATTGAAATTTTACTGCTCTCTCTTAGTTGTGCGGAACTTACACATAATCCAACTACTAATGCTCTTCTGTTTATATTTTTGGTAGAGCTTATTGTTATTCCTTAATGTAAACCTCTATATGATCCAATGCTGTTAATTTCCCATTCAAGCACAAAATTAAGGCGTTTGAGCAGATTTTAACAGTGATCTGTTCTGAAGTTGTTCTAGTGAGCAATATAAAGAACTTTTACGTGTAAGATATTTGCGCCTAGACTGTACCTATGACTCCAGCTTTCATTTATCAAGGAAATTGTTCTCGAAAGATTGCACACAGAGCCGAGCGTGGACTGCGTTCAAACAGTATAATCATATGTCAATTAGTGTCCACTTCTTCAAGACTCTCTCTGATGTTTAATACTATCCTGTTTTACGAAGACTATCCTGTTTACGAAACTATACTATGATCCTTTTCTCCCTCACTGTTATAATTGTTGAGCAGTAAGCACCATGTGAGATGTTTAATTGCACCAATTATAATGCTTTTGCATGTTTTGGCAGCTGGTAAAATTTCGCGACGTGTTTCCTTTATCCACTACCCGGAACCAAGTGAGCTTAAACAGAACAGCATAAACTTGAAGCAGATGATGGCTCAGAGATCATCAGGTACTACTACTACATTGACCAATTCTTCTCGTCGTTTTGCAACTCCTAGTCAAAGTACTAGGACGCGAAGTATTATGCAATCAGGGAGTTCATCCAAATCGACCATTAGAAAACACGGTGATGGCCAATCTGTTCAAGATTCGGGCAAAAGTGGTCGTAGTGTATTGACCTCTTCAGGATCCTTCGATCACTCTCGAGATCAAAAATCAAACAAGAAAAGGAAAACTGATGGTTGAATTGCTGCCTCAAGTGTTATAAATCGAATTGTTTTTGGTTAAAGAATCTCTTTCTAGCTGCTCTAGAGCGCGTTAACCATTCAACGCCATTAGTTTCACTCTTACGATATGTAAATGTATGAGGTTTTTGTGCTATAGCGCTTTGTTAATAATACATGGATAAGCATAGAATTGTTCTTTTAAACACACCAAATCAAACTTTGGACTGGAAAAAAATAGTTTCAAAATATTTGCAAAGAAAAAAACCCAGCAAATTAAGATTTTGGCCCAACCAAAAAAGGGTATAATAATTTAATGTAATAAAAAAAAGTCAATTGAAAATTTTATTATAGATTTTAAAGGGTTAAATTTATCCACATCAGGTGTTTGCATCAATTTAATACATACATGCCGCGTGTTTAAATTTATAGTTCATTTTACTCAATCTTAATTAATTAACATGTGTTCTATTTCATTACTCCCTCCGTCGGTATTATTTGTCATGGTTTCTATTTTTAGAATCAAAATATAAAAACTTTGAATAACATTTTAAGATGCATTTTTTCATCATATTAAAATGCAAAAAAAATTGTAATTTATAGTACTTTTGATATAGTTTTAGAATATCTAATTTTTTTATCAAAATATCGAATTAATGTGATTTAATTTACCTTTGAAAATTATTCAAATTCACTTTCTATAAGCACAACATGACAAACATTGTCGGACGGAGAGAGTAACTCACATAATAATGAATTTGGTGTAAACACCTGGTTCAGGTATGTTTTTTTCATATTGAAAATTGTTTTCTCTGTATAAAATAATTTTAATATCAAAAGTATATTGATGTTTGTCAAACACAATTTATTTATCAAAAACACTTTTCAAACAAATTAGCCAAACAAAAACTATTATTTAAAAAAAAAACACTTTCCCAAATTATTTTTTTTAAATGCTTTCTAAAATAAACAATTTGACTAAGACTCTAAAATATTTATTAAAAAAGGGTGAATGATTTTTTAGATTTAAGGAAGTATCAACCCTTTTTTAACTTTTCAAATAAACTTAGGTGGATAACGACTTTATGACATTAAATTAGTCAAAATGGAAATTAATGATCTACTAAATGCGTAATTAATTGAGCAAGAGTAACAACCAAAACAGAAGTGGAGCAATTAATAATTATAAATATAAATATGAGCATTTTTACTTGTTACTGTTTGATTTGATATATTTATTAAGAAAATAATTATTGATATACGAAGTTTATCTTATTATTCCACTAAATGATGTTTAGTACTCTCTCTATCCACTTTTAATTATCATGTTGCGCATTTTCGAAAGTCAATTTAATTATTTTTTAAAGTGAAAGTAGATTATAATAATTTGATATTTTAAACAAAAAAAAACTTAAATATTCACAAACTATACAAAAAGTACTATAAATTTCAATTTATTGCATATCAATATGATCAATAATACAACGTAAAATATTAGTCAAAGTACTCATTGTTTGATTCTACAAAACTGAAATCATGCCAACTAAAAGTGAACGGAAGTAATATCAAGTTTTGAAAAAAGATTTGGAGAATAGTATTTAATACTACGGACAAATCATGAAATAGATAATTATTTTTTCTTAATTTGTTGAAAATGACAAGTAATAATGAAAATTTATTTTAGGAATAAGTGACAAATAAAAATGAACAGATAGAGTACGTATTATCATAAAAAAGTCAAATAAAACATAAATTCATGTGTGTGTATATATACATATATATATATATATATATGATTCTCGTATAAATTAATATAATACAACAAATGTATATTCTTTTCTTAATTAAAAATTTCGAATTTGAGGTTTAGAATATAAAAAAGTTCATGACACTACAAAATGTAAACTCAAAATAATCATAGTCCAATAGGACCTTGATATAGTATAAGTGTGTCTCTGAGATCTCGAATAAAGATTGAGGAGTACTTGTACATTAGCAAATCTAATATGAAGGGGTCAATTAAGATGTTTATAATTAAAATATTTCTTATCATTATTTTTACTCAAAATAATTACAAAATACATACAAATAATACTGTCATTCAAAATAATAAAGCTATAATTAAGGAATATCAATTTAAAACTAAAGATCATAACTATTAGAGATTCTATAATTTTAAAAATAAATTTTACATTTTTCTTATACTTTAATGGAAACTTCCAAATATAATTTTGTAAAATCACATCATAAATTAATTGCACATTTGAGTTGGATTTGTGAGAAAAATATACCACAAAAAAAATAATATGAGTCATATGCCAAACAACAGTCAATGTCATTTTCACTTTGTGGGACCACAGGGGACCCCACCCCCACCCCCACACCACCCACCTCACACTATCTACTTCAATATTAAATTTTAAAAAGTAAAAATAGTAGAAAAAGATATCGAGCGGAAATTTATAAGAGAAATTAAAAAAATGATAAAATATACGTAGATCTGATTAATACCTCATGGAGATAGAAAGACTGTCCCTGAAAAATCATTTGTTCACGTACAACAAATTCAGGTACATAAAAGATCAAGACAACATAAACATAACAAGTAACAATAGAATATTGTAATAATCAAATAATCAACACAAATATTATATTAATAGACCAGAGGCGGACGTACGTGTCCTATGAGGGTGCACGTGTTAACTTTCGAAAGTTATGTATGTTTATGCCTCGAGACACGATATATACTTTTATTAAATATCCAAATACACTAAAAATATTTTAATGCATTGATTTAAACGTTTCATACCCCTGAAGTAAAGAGACAGTTTGAATACTATTCTCACCCAATGACAAATATCAACCTTTTTATCCAGTAAACAATACTATACTATCTATTAACCTTCTACGCTGATACGTGTCCTTCACACCCTCGCTTTTCGACATATTTTTCAAAAATCCAACTCTAAAAAATCTTCATGATCAAAACATCTCGTTATCTTAACTTCTCCCCCTCCCCGTCTCCCCAACCTTAAATATTTTTTCCGAATTCAACTTTAAAAAAATTTCATGATCGAACGTCCTGTTACCTTTAACCTAATACGCTGATACATGTCCTTTCACACCCTCGCTTTTCAACATATTTTCGAAATCCAAACTCTAAAAACTCTTAACGATCAAAACATCTCGCTATCTTAACTTCTCCCCCTCCCCCGGTCCCCCAACCTTAAACATTATTTTCAAAATTCAACTCTACGAAAAAATTTCACGATTGAACATCTCGTTACCTTAACCTCATCCCCTCCAAACCACCAAAAGCAACTAACGTGGTCTCCACTCCCCCTCACCCCCTACCCCACTTTCCTCTGTTTTCTCTCATTTCCCCTTCCATTGTCTCTTTCTCTCTCTGTAATGAATATACAGAGCAAGTCACAGCCAAAAGTAGGTGAAAAGCAACCAAAATAAATAACAAAATTTACTCAAATTTAGTATTAGTTTCCATAGAATAATTACTTCTCCTAACATGTACTTTACTACTATTACAATCTACGCCACTTAATCAAAAATCCACCCACCCCCAGATGAACAAGAAAACAAAAGTAACCAGACAATACTGTACAGAGGAGCAAATAGACCCTTTTTCTTTGTGTGTGTGTAGCAAAACCCTAAAACTTTATTTTTTTTATCAGATCTCTTCTGATTCATCAGTTGTTTGAGTTTTTTTCTTGATCTGAAACAACCCCATTTTCTTGATTTTGCTGTATTATGGTGCAATGTTTATGTTTTTTGCTTTAGTTTATTGAACCCCCAAGAAGGGAAATGTCTGCTTCACTTGCTGCATTTGAGCGTCCAAGAATTGGTTCTTCTTCTGCGGTAAAGTTCTATTCTTTTTGCTTTTTACTTATTTTGTCAAAAAGTATCTTTTTAAGTTTTGTGTATACTCTACCTTCCTCGGACCTCAGAATGGGTATATTGTTGTTGTTGTAGTATTTGCCTATCTTGTTTTGTTGGAAATGTAAGATGTTTGGGGTAAAAGGAGAGATTTTGGTGTCATTTGTGATGTGAATGATAGTGAAATGAGCTCTGGACCTCACTTGTGGGATAGCAATGGTTATGTTGTTTTGATGGGTTTTGGTTGTTGGAAATGTAAGAAATTTGAAATAAAGGAGAGATTTTTGGGTCATTGTGATGTCAATGATAGTCAAATGAGGTAGGGGTAGTTTTCTGTATACTCTTTAAGTCTACCCTCTGGACCTCACTTGTGAGATTACAATGGGTATATTGTTGTTGTTGTTGTATTTGTCTATCTTGTTTTACTGGGTTTTGTTTGTTGGAAATGTAAGAAGTTTGCAAAAGGAGAAATTTTGGGGTCATTGTGTTGTCAATGATAAGTCTTTTTTTTGAAACTGGTAACTTTAGTCTATATATCCACAGGTATACTACAACAAAAGTGTAGTTCCCCTTTGAAAGTGTTACAACTTACAGAATAGAAGACTAAACTGCTGCCTATGAACAATCTAGCACATCAAAGATGTCTTCTGTCCTAGTCAATGATAGTCTAATGAGGAAAATATTGTTCTTTTGTTGATGTTGTACTTGTTTAACTCAATATGAAGATTAAGAAAGGGAAAATTTGGGGTCAAATGATTTTCATTCATAAAGATTAGTTCTCTAAATTGGGTTATACTAGATTTACTCAAAAGATTTTTCTTGGTCGAACTGTGATTAATAGGTAGTATCTCAGAACTCATTGGGATGGATTACTTGAATCCTGAATATTAAGTATGCTCCATTGCCATCTCATCTCAGTACTTAAGTACTTTGTCTTTTAAGGGAAATTAGTGACGAACAAGTGATTTCTTTTTTGCATTTCTTATATGCCAAATGCTGGAGAGAGAGCACTGTGGTTTTTTTTTCTAGTTTACACCTTGTCGACATTTGTCTCATTTTGATAACCAAGTTCTTATCTCTGTTAATGGTTCATCAAGCCAAGTCTTTAATTGTATGGAGGTGTTCTTAACGGGGTTCTATTGTTTCCTTGGTTTATTCATGTTGTTGTTCTTATTTTATTGTTCGAAATTTATTATTATCCTTCGTCTCCTTTAGTTGTCTTTATTCTCGACAGGATACAATATTTGTTTTTGACCGGTAAATTTCACTGTTTTAATTTAGAAACTTAGGGATGGTGGACCCATTCCCTGTATCCTCTG